TACCATCTCAGAATCAGCCTTGCGGATCCTACGAAATAAGGAAGTACAGCAACACACAATCGTCTGGTTCCCCACTCACATTGGACAGATCAAGGGTACTCTGTCCAATCTTTAAGGGCCACTAAACAGGCTCCGACTTTTTTTTTTACACCCTCCATACAACCTTGGCAATTCGTAGATTAGACCGCAGCAATCAGGATTTCTGAATATTACAGCGCCGCGCCCCGCGCAGAGCCTCTATTTCTAAAAACGATCCCTGCGCATTTTTCCTACGCCTGACCGACCCCCCTGCACATGCAGTGACGTCAACTCGGCGATTGGCGATGTGATGTAGCACGCAGCTCGCCGATTTGTCTAAATCAGGTGTGAAAAAACAGTAGTGAAGTCAACGTCAGTTCCTGTTCCCACCCACAGCTACGAAACTGCCCTTTGTTTCTTGACACTGCAGTTGAAAGAACCAGCCTCGGAGTTGTCGCGTGCACGTGTGCACTTTTCGCTCAACTACAGCGCCTGTGCGCACATACGAACGTACTTCGCCCTTGACATCAGCAACATGGGTAAAAAGCATTGCTCTGTCGTCGGCTGCAAATCGAGCAACTGGGCGGCTCGCTCACTGGATTTCGGCGCGGCGGAGAAGCATCGGCACCGAGTGCCTCACAATTGGGCCTTCGCGCTGCATGGCTCAAGAAAATCCACCATCCAGAGATGTAGGTCGGGGACCTGATCGTTTGTGGTCAACACTTCGCACCTGACGCTTACACGATTGACCCGGGGCTGGTGCCGCAAACCGTAAACAAACAACCACGCTTCGCAGCAAGCGGAAGTGCGTTGCGACTGATCGAGTTCGCTGATGACGTCAGTCGCTGACGTGGGGTCACGTTGCTGAAGTGGGCGGAGTCACGACGATGGTAAACGCCTTCCCCTTCATGGAAGGGAGAAGAGGGGCGAGGCCGTGCGATAATTTGAAACGATGCTCAGACCGATGTTCTAACCCCTGTAATATAACATGTTTTTAATATGGCATGTATTCACCAAATTTTTGCGGCAGCATGTTTGCAAAGAAAAACTGCACATATATCTCTTTTTAAAAATTTTTTTACCCCGGGGCTATTTACCGGCCCTTTAACGAGTCAGCCCACAGAGCTGTGCGAAGACAGAACTATTGCGCCCTATATTGGTGGAAATAGAAAAAAAAACTGATTTGTCTTGACCAAACTGGGGGTGCGCCTAATTTGTAAGTAAATTCTGTGAATGATGAAATAAATGAAAGCAACCACCATTGCATCTGGCAAGCCTGAGCTTCGCCAACTGCCAAGTCCGTGGTCTAGTCAAAATATAGTTGTGGCTGAAACTAAAGCACCTAGGTGTCTTAACGAAATCGCGTGAGAAATGGCACTAGAAGAAAAAGCCATCTGTGCCGAAATTAAAATAAGATCACCATTTTTTTCTCATTTATTACTTCACAAAAAACTTGATTAGGTTGAATTTGACAGCCAGGTTAATTTATTAATTTGGAATAATGACAATGTTGAATGCTAGAGGTAATTTTTACAGAATGAATATTTCTTTGTTAGATCTGAAACTTTCCTAAATTATGTTTTGCTATATTGTAACAGTTGGTAGTGAGCTCTGTGTGTGGTCTATGTTTCTCGTGTGAAAGAGTGTGTGAGTGTTTTGTGGGATTTTTTACAATATGACGAGTTACCAACTCGCCCAACAACAAGTTTTTTTTTACCTTTCATTAGATCGAGTTCTGAACGAAACTCTCAAAGCTTCAGGTGAAATGTTGGGCATCCGCAGAAGTCATATGCGCCGTTGTTTATCACATTTCACGCAGCTTTGCTTATCGACAGCGCCCACCAATGGAAACAGTTTGCGTAGCCACCGTGCTGAGTACAAGCAACAAAAAACCTATCCCAAGCAGCTTTGCACGTTAGGCCTCACGCTGGAGTATGGATGTTCTTGCAAGGACAGGCCGTGGTTCAACTCTAACTCTGTCTACACCGAGCAAAGACCTGGCATCAGCCAAGAAGGCCACTCTAAGCTCATAAGATCAACCAGTCTTGCTGCTTCTGAAAAATTACATGGCTAGTGTAAACTTCTACTCCCTTTCTTTTTTCAACAATTGTAGAAAACACCAAAGTTGTACTTTAATATGGACATGACATTTTTTAAATGTGAGTATTAGCAAAAATATAATGTGCCAGTCGAAATCATCCGGTGAATTTGCTGACTCATGCCAACGTGGGGAAATGCTGAAATTGGGTGAAAGATTGTTTCAAGTTTTATTACCTTCTATAGAAAGGGGAGTAAGAGCTAAAGGTCAAATGGTTTGGCAGAGGTTCTTTGCCTCTGCGCATTCAGCATGCCTGTCCATTGTTTTGATGTGGGTAAACATGGAGCCGCCATGTACTATACTGATTGGTATATGCTTCAGTAAAAGGAGAGCTGGAAGATATGTATTGTATTTTACACACTACAAATGTAGCATTTGGTCCAGTGTACTCATCATCATCATTATGCTTGGCCTACTTTATGATCACAGCAAAATCTCCAGTTCACTTTCTTTTATTTCTGTGATTACGCCAATCAACTCTCTGCAGTCCTCGGCTGCATTTCTCATGCTTTTCTTTTGATTGCTCTAACAGGCCGCTGTTGCCCACCTTAAGCTTAATGTGGCCTGTCCAGGTTAACGTTTTTCGCTGAATGCCAACTAGAGTACCGGCTAGCATAGTTTATTTTCTAATTCCTTCTGCAGTGCTTAGCTGTCTTCCGTTCTCCTGTATATAAGTAGGTGATTATTCAAGCACTTTGACTATTCTAATTTGCTTCAACAGGAAACTAAAATGTTCAAAATTTTCTAGTATTTAGAATGAACGAATAAAAATATTTTTAACTGCGTGTCACTCTCTTGAAAGGTAGTTTCGCTGCAGCTAGGCCCTGCTGTGCCGTGAAAGCATGTTTACAGAGGAAGTCCACAATGTCGCAAAGCCACTCTTAAAGGTACAAGTGTGAGCAAAAGTGGGCAGACCACTTATTTATTTATTTATTTATTTATTGTACCCTCAGGGCATACAGCATTATAGAGGGGAGGGGGTTTAGAAGACAAAAAATACAATTGAAACGTGAAAAACAAATCACATTCAGTACATGCGTACAACACTCGAGAACAACGTGTAAATGACAACGCTTACACAATATCTAAAAAAAAAAAAGGAAGCACCGCGACAAATCAAACAAGGAATCAAAAAATCAAAGAAGGAAGCACCGCGACAAAAAAAAAAAAAATACCGTAATGACGATCTAACACACAAAGAAAGTACCGAGAAAAAAAAAAAATTACAACATGGCACAACGAATCTGCGATACACAAATGTTTGCTGCTGTTGCACCGAACAGCAGCAAACAAAACCAGGGAAAAAAAAAAAATGCGTTGAGCAGATCAATGCATAAAATTTTCGAGTGCCGCCCGAAAGCGTTCCTGATTAGTAATCGTGACTAGTGACACAGGCAGGTTGTTCCAATCATGGCATGTTTTTGGTTAAAAAGAATGGGAGTATGTTACGGTGTTTTGGCGCGGAATATGAACCTTGTAATGATGGTCGAGGCGTTCAGATAGGAAAAAAGGAGGGTTTAGCCAGCGTGATTTAAGTATGGGGTTATGGTGATACGCTTTATGCAGCACACAAAGGCGAGCAAATTTCTGGCGAGTAGCAAGAGTAGCAAGAGTAGCAAGGTCAAGGCTGGATTTCATGTTAGTAACACTGGAAGTGCGGTGATAGTTGGAAAGTATGAACCTCACGGAGCGGTTTTGCACAGCTTCAATTTTATTAGATAGTGTTACATAGCCAGGGTCTCAAACTGAGGAAGCATATTCAAGTCTAGGGCGCACGTAGGTTATATATAGCTGCTTTTTTAAGGAAGACGGGGACAGCGAGAAATTTCTTTTCAAGTAGCCTAGCATGCGGTTTGCATTAGATGTTACATATTCAATTTGGCACGCCCAGGATAGGTTATTGGTTATGTGCACACCGAGATATTTGTAAGATTCAACTGACTTTAGTTAGGTATCTTTAAGAAAGTAATCAGGGCTAGGTAGTTTGTTACGCGAAATTCTCATTGATTTACATTTAGAAACGTTAAGATCCATGTGCCAGAGGTTACACCAGGAAATAATGTTGTTAAGGTCGGATTGTAGACAGGCAATATCAGTATCATTAGTAATTTTACGGTAAAGCACACAGTCATCAGCAAAAAGGCAAACTGGAGAACAAATGTTAGAAGGCAGGTCGTTAATGTATATTAGAAACAGTAAAGGCCCAAGCACAGAACCCTGAGGTACTCCTGAATGTACCGCCACCTCGGGAGAGTCAGTTTCGTTAATGGATACAAACACTGGATTGCATGGCCGAATGCATCGACACGTCATCTAGGGACGAGATGCCAGCACGTCCTGTTGTATCAGTTGCCCCTGCATGTCAATTTTTTCGATGTCGTTACGGCGCTTGTTGCCAAAACGACAACAGGGTGTCGCTATCTTTTCTCTGCCAAATTTGTGCCTTTTTTTAATGTAATGGCTGCGATGGGGCCGGTTCTAGCGCCAGGTACGCGTCGTTGTTTCATCCGCGCCAGGTACGCGTCGTTGTTTTATCCCTGTTCGTACACACTCTTGTACAGATTCTAAGGGTCGGTTGCTGATTTTATAATCTCTCTTTTGCCAGGTGACTGACCTTTGCCATCAACATATTCGTACGTAGACTAATTTTCAAAACTACTCTCAGTTTAGCCTACTCAGAGACAGCACCATGATTTTCGTTGTATCCTTTCATCATCTGGTCTATGCACCGACATCCTTAGGTGTTTAAAAGCTGCTCATGATAATAAAGGCAAAGGTTAGAAGCTGTGCCACTTACGAAATAATTATGCAGTTGTACAGGCCTGAGTGGTTTTGAGCTTTGTTGTTGCCATTTCTGTAACAAACTGTGCTGTGACTGATGCAGCGGAGCCCGAGGGTGTGCCTGATGGGGATGCGGTGGTGAACGAGTGCGAGGAGTACTGCATTGTGGTGCGCAGTCGGCTCGAATCGCACTCACTCGTGTTCGGTGCCGAGGTGGACGGTGTTGATCCGCGGGTCCACAGGCACGGTCGGCAGTCACAGCCGGGCTCCACCGGAAGTTATATCGAGCTCAAGACATCACGGGATTGCCTCTCTGAACAGCAGTACCGCAACTTCTGCCGGTAACACCTTCACTGATCACGTGTTGTTTGTTTGGTTGGGGAGGACACTGTCGATTCCATGAAGGATTACTGCAGGAAGAATGCTTGGATAAATTATAAGCATGGCAATGTCAGATGTGAAGAAAATCGGTAGCAATATTATACTACAAAAGGAAAAAATGTGTGAGAGCTACAGGGTATGCTTGTACGGCTTCTACTGGACTGCTTGTCATTACTGCCTTGTGTACTCTGGTCCCATCATGCTAAAAGCATAGCTTTTAACCCAATGCGACCATTCAGCATGTACATACTACTGGAATAAATTAAATTGAATACAGGCATGCAAACTAGTGGTACCTACAAAACCATGCTGGAACGGCTAGTAATATCTGTGACCCTTCCCTGGCTATCTGTTTGGTGTGTTTGCCTCCTGCTGAATGTTCAACAGGCTTAAAGAATGGTCTTCTTTTGATTCTTGATTATACAAACCTCACCTTGGTCTATATGAATGCAATATCTACAAATGAAGAAGCCATGTGGCTGATCAACTTGGATGGTTCGTCTCGTACGTTTGAAAAGTTTGGTGACCTGACCCTATCACTTCTAATCTGTTTTTTGTTATGATACCTTTTGCTTTTTTCCTTTGTTCACGCTAATGTCTGTACGTACACCTGATGAATGACTTCTTTGAGCGGTTGTGCAAACACATCACATTTTAATCCGTTTGTATAATCTTAACATTTCTTCTTTTATCGTTTGTACTAAGTAATGTACCTGCTTTTGCTATGTGTCGAATTCAAGGCAGTAGTACCAGTAAATAAATAAATATGTAATTGTAAACCCTGGTATATCAAACATAGACAAAGAAGCATGTTAGTGTCAACTTATTGGTAACAATGTGAAATAAATTATTAGACTGTCATGTAGGGGGTAATATTATGTAGAGGGGCCCTTCAAGAATTTTACAGCAAGGTCAGAGAACACTGCCGATTGGTTTTCAAGGCTCATAAGAAAATGTGCACCAAGTCTGCCTCGGTGGAACAGTTGCTGACTCAAAGGACGTCAGTTAGATCCCGCCTGTGGTGCCCCGCCCCGGTGGTATAGTGGCTAAGGTACTCGGCTGCTGACCCGCAGGTCGCGGGTTCGAATCCCGGCTGTGGCGGCTGCATTTCCGATAGAGGCGGAAATGTTGTAGGCCCATGTGCTCATATTTGAGTGCACGTTAAAGAACCCCAGGTGGTCGACATTTCCGGAGCCCTCCACTACGGCGTCTCTCATAATCATATGGTGGTTTTGGGACATTAAACCCCACATATCAATCATGAGATCCCGCCCGTGGCGGTCGTGTTTTCATAGAGGGGAAATGGTAAAGGCCCCTGTTCTGTGCTATGTCCGTGCACGTTAAAGAACACCAGATGGGCCAAGTTTCCGGAGCCGTTCACTATGGCGTCCCCCATAATCAACTCCAAATATTATTATTGTGTGTGCCAAACATCAGAGTACAACACGTGATCTGGAATTAACATTTCATTTTCAAAGTAATCTAGACTATAAAAGAACTTGTTGTTGGGCCAGGTGGGGTCGATTAATTCTAACGATCATTCGAGTGTAGGAACAAAACACATTCACACACACATTGTGTATGTTTGGATGTGCCCAAATTATTTTTGGAATTCAGCTGGGCCAATTGCGATTACTATAGCTGCTACAGTGTGCCACTCTGTTAGGGCTGGAAGTATGCGCAGTGCAGAATTACGACAGCTGTGTGAAAAAAAATGTGTGAGCATTTTCTTTTCCCCCTGCCTGCACCTGGCTCGGGAGGAGAGAAAGCGCTGAAAGCTCATGCTTGCTGATTATAGAAATTTATGCAGCACTCATTTCATGAGGCAGAAAACTCTTAACTTTTTCGCTACTGCACAAAAATGGTTGTTTTTCATATGTCTCGGAAACATCATTTTTGCCATTTGGAAAAGTACTCCAGCACGCATTGCAGCATTGGAAACTTTGCACAACGAAATGATATTTCCAAAAAATGTATGTTGTAGAATAACAAAACTATTTTTAATGGATAAAAAGTGAAAAGTGTAGAAGTTTTGGTCACAAGCTGGTAAACAGTGCAATGAAAAACACTTTATATGCAGAAATATTCAAAGCAAAGAAAATTCAGAATACATATACATTTTGTAGATAAATGAGCCAGGAACAGTATAAAAAATAATGAATGTTATACAAAAATGTTTCTCTTTACATAGAAAAAAAAGAATCGGAACCAAGGTGCTGCTTCGTTGCTGGTGTCATGCAGTGAAGCATTGCATAGTTTTTTTGTGAGACACAAGTGTACTTGTACACTTTTTCTCAGTAAAGTTTTGTTTTGTTGCGATAAGAGTCTCCTGGCATTCCAATAGAGGTGGATGGATAGCCGTCATGTGAATAATTTCTCTATAAATGAGATGTCCAATGATCTTCGCTATTTCATCTAGTGTCGCCTCTTTCCATGAGCCATTTTACACCGCATAGGTTGTCGTTCTAATATATGCATCCAAGCATATTTCTTTGCATTTTCGCGCATATCGTAATAAAAAAAGGGCAATATCGTGCACAGTTCTAAAACGTTTTGCACTGCTCTATAGTAAGGGCCAAGATGTGCTCCGGTGGCCTTCTTGTTGTTAGGAGAAGCTCTGCAGCCTGCGTCAGCACACTATGCCCCAGCGAAGTGTAGACCACGCACGAAACCAGAGTAGCTAAAAGACTGTGCACAAAGGTCATAAGTTATATGGACTTGCGGCAGAGGAAACAATTTGAGGATGTAAACAAAACAAACACATGAAAGGCTTTGGATGTTTTAGGCTGACGCAAAACAACGTTGCCATAAAACTTCAAGCTGAGGTGCTGTCATTCTCGAATGCTAAGCTCGACGTGACTAAATTCAGTTGGGTTTCAAGATAGTTTCTAGCAGCGCATGTCTTTTTCAGCACTGATGCGCAACCATGCGCGCGTGACGACATTCTAGGAGCGACTAGTGACACTAGATGCGACTCTGTGTCTGATATAACAATGCAAGCAATACTTAAGCTGCTGGAAACTGTCATAGAAGGCCACCTCAACACCTTAAACACACAGTGGACCTTCGCAAATATTTTTTGTAGAACAAATCTTTCCCGACTCCTACGAACAGCTTTCTAATAAATATATGGCACAAATTTCTAGCTGTCATTACTGCTCAACATAGTCAAATTGCAAAGTGGACACTTTGACTCGATACTTGGCTTGCAAAGGTTCCTTTCATTGCCGAACTTTGATGTTGCTGTACTATAATCGTGAGGAGCGCGCGCTTCTGTCAAGTTCGCCAGCCTAGCGCACTTTTACAATATTACGCGCACATTGGTTCGCGCAAAGGTCTGTCGAAAATCATTATTTTGCCGAAACAGGCAAATTCAAATTAATTCTGAAAGTTGAGTGGCTGGACTATTTACTAAAAAGTGCTCGGGTGCACGAGAAACGAATTGAACATGCCATTATCGATTATCTAAAAGCGTCAATCTCCACTGATCGATCTGAGTAGGCAAGGTAACGAAAGAGTTGAAAGGAGACGCCAATCTTGAAATTAAAATTTTTTATTATTGGAGATACTATAATGAAATTAGGTGTGTATGTGTATTTCTTTCTCCTCTTTTCAGAAATATTAGTTTTAATGTACACCAACTATAGTTATCAAATTGTGAGTGCATAAGTGAAGTCTAATTGTGTAATTTTTTATGGGTCGTTAAGGTACTTTACCTCAATATTTTTAGGTTCTGTTTAGGATGCAGCTGTAGGCAAAGCCCTACCATGTGGAGTTATGCTATTTAAATTGTCACTGAGATACATCATCATATAAAAATTCTCATTTGCATTGATGCTCTGCAGTTGTGAAACTTAATAGCTCAGATTAGTGTTCATAGCATTTCATATGTCCCGCTGAGCCACAAAAAATAGCATAGCTCCACAGTCCTGTTTCTTAAGAGTTCAACCGGATGAAAATTAAAAAATTGCTTCACAAAAACATGATGAAAAGTTCCGTAAGGCTGGTCAGGTTGGTAAAAAATGTGAAGCTGAAAAAATCGCCATAGAATATACTTTTACAGCGCAAACATAAAACGATCCACACCAGCAGCGCTGGTGTGTGTCGTCGCTTTCTTTGTGGATCGTTTTATGTTTGCGCTGTAAAAGTATATTCTATGGCTATGAACCAACTAGGCCCAAAAGAAGTTTTACTTAAGTTCATGAAAAAATCGCATTTGAAGTTTCGACATGCACTGCAAAATTTTCTATAAGGAACTTTTACTACAAGTTTTATACACATGTTTCCCATCTATTCCCCTGCAAAGGAAAACAAAATGTTCCTTATTCCACGCTTGGAATCGTTTCTAAAAAATTTTTCCAATGTGGAAAGCATTATCAGAACACCATCATGACAAGCTATTGAGGGGTTCTGGAAAAGCTGTGGGGTATGAGGCTCAAACGACTAGCTGTTAGGCAGCATGCTGCCCTAGGTAATAAATTGCTGTGTTCCGGACCCTCAAGTGACCATGAAAATGTCCGGAAAATCGGGCATCCGTTCGGAAAAATGAATGCCCACAAAAATGCCTCTTTTTTTATAGGTATTTTTTGCTGACACAGAGGGTCACAGCTGTGGTACGAAATTCTTGTTGCACTCTTGTAAATGCATCGTTTAGGTAGCTCATAAAAAAGCCATTTATTAAAGAAAATCGATGTGGCCGGTGCTACCTCAGTGGTCAACACGTTGGCCTAAAAAAAGTCTCCTATTTTCTTTTGCACGGCATTCCGCTTGCCCGTGATGATGTCTGCCTCAATGTACACTACGCGTCATGCTGTCGCTGTTCATCGATGACAGTGTTGTCAGTGCTCACATCAACTTCGAGCTCGTTGGCTGTGTAAGCGCTGCCGAAAATCGAATGGCGAAGGCAACAAGCTCCAACTCTAAGGAGGTCGAACTTTCGGGTAGCTGACTTTTCCAACAA